GGATCAGTAAATATTTCTGGCAACTGATTTACTAAACTTTGTAAATGAATTATCTTTTGGACTTTAATTAACATTCTTTAGTCCGAGGATCAATGATAATTCATTCCAACTTATCTTTTCCAGCTGTTTCTTTTCTCCCCCTGATGTTGGAATTACTGACATAGTAAAATGACAGTCTACAAATCGAGCCTAATATAAATCTTTCATGGATGGACTCTACATACTTAATTATCAATTGAAGATTTATATCCAACATATATTCTCAACCTCATTTGAGGATCCATCTTATACTGCTGTGGTGGAGCAATGTAGATGTACACTGCACATCCAAATCTTTTAGATGGAAAATATTTGGTTTCTGACCCAAAACCAATTTTAATGGGAGAATTTTGATTACTTATTGGCTTTATGCGAATTAATACTTCTGGATTTTTTGTATGAACATTTGCTATTGGATGTTCAATATTTATCTTTATGATTTTATCATCAAAGGCTTAAGACGTGAATTCACTAACATTGCCAAGGGATCTAGCAAACTTCAAGTTGCAGATATTCAATATATTAAATTACTACCACAAACTTTTCTTTGTAAACTTTCTAGGAAATGAAATAGATTTCAAATCTATTTTGGCTAGTGAAAATCATAATATCATATTTGTCATATGATTAAATCATTAGGAAGAATCTTCAAGTTCTTCAATGAATGTCTATAGACCTATTAATTATTTCTGCATATTTCTTGAATCTGAATGGTCTAACCAGCTCATGCCAAACTATGTTATATTTCTTAAACTTCTGGTTTACTATATAACATTTATCTTCATTATACAATCTTTATATATTACAATCTATTAGAGAGTATATGTAATTTCACCAAAATACTTTTACTGCATTTGGTAATACTCTAGATTTGAAAGTATTCAAATTTTCCTTCTTTATTGTCTTAACTTGATTAACTTTGAAATCCATTAAAATTACCTTATAAATGATTCATCAAGATCATTTTGACTTTGAACATAATCTTCTAGATGTTTTACTTACTATGGATTGTGGGATTCATCAATTCTCCCCCTCAAGATGATGACACTTCAGGTTCATCTATCTTGAATTGAATCACAATCTAGGATCAATAAGATATACAACTTGGATCATGTCTTATATCTTTGATTCTTTTAACCTTTTGAGATTTGTGAGATATAATGCTTCAATGATTGCATTCCCGTAGATAAATATATCTACTCTTCTGGAGCTTTCAATAATCCATATATTACCAGATCTTGTACTCACACTAGTTTATTTCATCTTTATATAAGAGAACTACTTCTGGTTTATACCATCTTTATTTTCTCACTTCTTGTGAGAATTTGAGTTCTTGAAATAAAACTTGTGATCTAGACTTTGACCATATCCACATCATAACCACTTCTTGAGCCAGTTCTTTAGCTAGTTTTATTGACATAATTATTTTATGTCCAACTATATAATGTCACATTCACTTCAAGGAATAGATCATAATGAATTGGACATAATTTAGAATTTTTTATGAGTAGCTCATTATCTTTTCAAAATAGTTCTTACACTTCATTTATATTGTCTGCAAGACAACATTATTTATCTAAGGATTATAGTTTGTCTTCTAGCAACTCTGGATTAGTGATTTTCTCTTCACATAATCTTTTACATAATAAGATTTATTTACAGACTTCAAATCTTGTAATCAATAAGAATTATTTACAGACATCAAGTCTTGTTATCTTAAATGTAAAAACTCGTAATGAGCTTTATGTAATGTCACATTATAGTGATCATAATTTTCCTTAGATTTATGTAAGAACTCGATAATCTTTTACAATAAAATACAAGATATTCTTATAGATGATGATATAAAATAAATATTATATAACTACACATATATAGAAATAAAAGCATTATTTAACAAAATCAATGACATGTACCATCTCTATTATCACTTCAGGTGACAATTTAAGTTTTAAAAGAACTTTAAAGAAGAAATAATTTTAAAAAAAATACTTCTCAAAAATCTTTATGTTATGATGTCTGCAAGACAACAATATTTGTGTGATGTATTCTAATTAGTGATATTATCTCCATTTATAGACTTCAAGTCATATGGTTTTTAGATAACAAGTAGGTCATATCACATTATGGTGATCAAGCCTTTTCTTTAAATTGCTCTATGGTCAACAATTTGATCTTAAAATCATCAAAAATGTAATGACAGATAAGTATAATTACAAAAGATATGATCTACACATATAATATAAATAAAAATAATAATATCATAAAATAATTCAATGAATCAATCATTATTGATTAATCTATATCTATCATGATATTAAACTATATTCTCAAACAATCAATTCACCAAAAAAGATCATATGATAAAACATGTGCAAATCTCGTGATATCTATATATATATATATATATATATATATATAATGATTGTTCTGTGCAAAAATCGGGATATAGCTGCAAAACTCGTGTAAAATTCTAATGGATTCGAGATAAACTGTTAGTGCAAAATTCAGGTAATTATTTATGTGCAAACTCTGGGTTAATAATATTGAAAATAGAAACTAGTGCAGAGTTTAAAACAGAAATCTATATCTGAATAATGATATAATAAAACACATCCGTGCAAAGTTTCTGTAAAAACTATTCTGTGTAAAAATAATATGGAAAATATTTGATTTAATGAATCTGTACAGAAACAGTATGGGGAAATATTCGATTTTAATGAATAATATTCAGTTTAACAAATTTCGTGCAATCATGTGCAAAAATAATATAAGCAATATATGATTTTAATGAACAATATTCAGTTTAATATATTTCGTGCAAACTGTGTGCAAAGACGGAATAAAATATTTGATATACAAATCATGTGCAGAAATAATAAATTTGAGTTAATGAATAAAAACATGTTTATAAATATCATAAAAAATTATATTAGTATAAACATGTGATTTGAATCTTTACTGGAGGAATTTATCATTTATAAAAAAAATTTATAATCTCTGTAGGAGAATTTATCATAATATCAATTATACATATAATAAACATGTAAGTTGAATCTCTACAAGAGAATTCATCATAATATTGATTATGTAAATCTCTTCAAAAGAATATATCATAATATTGATCTTATAAAAAATTAAAAACATAAACATATGATTTGAATCTCTGCAGGAGACTATCATAATATTGATTACTGATCCATTTTTACAAACCATGAGTTGATAATAAACATGATTTAAAGTTAGAATGTATAAATTGTAAAAAGCAGATTTGTATATCTTTTAGCTCATACATTTAGAGTTTCGTATTGATAAATAGAGAGAAGAGATAGAAGGAATTGATGTTATGTTATTCCAATGAATGAGTATAAAGATAAAATTTTACTTAGTGATAAAACCTAGTTTACAAGTAATGGGCGCTTATAATAGACATCACGTAATTATTCTGAACCAATTTGGAAAATAGATATGCACATTATGTTTTCCATTGTATTTTAAACTCCATTTCATCGTTAGTCAAGTAGATGTTGAGAACATTAACATCGCTCCAATACAAACAATACAAACATTCTTAAGATGGATAATTAAAATAGCTAATCAAATATAGAAATCGAGTAACTCAATCAAATTGCAATTTCGTTTTATCTCACTCGTTCGTAATTGGAACTTTTAAATCACAAATCGGCACAAAAACAAAAGAACGGGGGCAAATGTAAAATATAATAAAGTATTCCGGACGATTTTTAAATACTAAAAAGTAAGAAAACAAAAGCCTTTGATTTTTTAAATACTCTCAAGGCAAAAGCCTTTTGATTTACCTTTTCAGGACTAAATTTCTCCAAATTTCTCTCATCACCCTCCTCAGGTCTCTTCTACTTCAACAACTATAAGACAGACAGGCAAAGATTTTTACGACGGAAGACCTCCGGTGGACGGAACAAGGCGAAGTTATCATTTTCAGCTTCTGTTTTTTCTGACTTTTGTTAGATTTCGGATCTAGTCCCAAGGCTTGAATTCTTCTTACTATCTCCGACTGGTTAGTTTTTCATTTTTAATTTTTCTTGATTGAGTTTGAAATAGATTCAAATCGGAAACTGGTAACGGAGAAGACGAAATATGTATCTGTTCATCATCATACTTACTATGGATTCTCGATTTTTTGGTGTAAATTGTAATTTGATTGGTTTAGTTTGTTCACTGTTTGGCTGCTGGAAAATGCAGGAAGATGAAAAAGTTTATTGATTAACTCAGATATTTCAAAAATTTGTTTAGTCGAGATGTGATATTATTAGTCACTGTAATCACTTTTAGAAGTCTAAAACAAAGTGTATATGTTAGATCTAGCTTAATGAGAAAGCAACCTGATGAACTAAAACACTAAAACTCAATGGTGTTTCTATAATTGTTGCATTGCTCTGTGCTTGAGGTTCTTAAGCCAAGTTAAAAAGATCTGCTTTGTGGGTTGTTCCTATAAATAGTCAGATCCATCTTTTTTTCCTTTTGACGTTTCTCTTTTTTGCATTTCAAAATGGTGTTTAAAGACTCAGAAAGCGTTTAAGTTTGGCCTTATATTAACGATGTTCTTGCAAATTAGTGGATAAGTGTATATAAAAGTAAGCTTATAATCAATTTTATGAGTCTAAAACACGTGTATGTGTTAATCTAGCTTAATGAGAAAGCAATTTGATGAACTAAAACTTCAAAACAAAATGCTGTTTCTCGAATTGTTGCATTGATCTGTGCTTGATGTTATCTTTAAAACACTACAGCTACTGTGTTCTTAGGGCAAGCTAAAGAAGATCTGCTTTGTGACATGATGCTTTAACTAGTCAGATTTTTTTCCTTTTGAAGTTTGTTTCTTTGCATTTCAAATGATGTTTAAGACTCGGAAAGAATGATTTAAGTTTCTTGTGAATAAGTGGATAAACGTTCACTGTTCTTTTGGCAGGCAAAAAGTGGTAATGGCTGGCTCTAAAGGCTCAGAGAGTGTTAGAAGCTTGATGTACTCAGGCAAAAACGCTTTGCTCCCTCCGAAAATCCCATTTCCAAGCGTATCAGCTTCGTATACTGAGTACATATCCTGTGGTTTGATGGGTTCGAGGCGCGGTCAGAAGCTCGGTGAAGAGAAAACGCATCACCAGAGGACTTCCTCTGAGAGCCATTTGGTGGAAGAGCTTCCCTTTTGGCTTGATGATCTTCTAAATGAGCCAGAGAGTCCTGCTCGCAAATGTGGTCATAGGCGTTCTTCTAGCGACTCTTACGCTTATCTAGACGTGGCTAATGCTACAAACATAAGCCTGACACTCCAAAAAGATTTCAGTTATAGGAATTTGGCTTCTTCCACTAGAAAAGGATCTCAAGAGCCTGATCGGAGTAAAAACGCTCGGGACGATGCTGCCTTTTACGCTGATGCTAGTTTCTTGAAACAGAGGAACCAACAGAGGGATTCTTTGGTGGCTCGTCGTTGTTGGCTACCTTCCACTCGAGATAGTGTTGGTGGGAAAAACATGGGAGTATCATCATATATGTGTCAAGAAGCAACAGCAGAAACTCATGAACCGAAAAGGTTCTCTTCTGAGGAGAACAGTTCCAATGCAAACCCTGTGACGTATGAGGCTGACAATATAAAACGAGCCAAACAGTATGTGATTCTCTTTAGACGTTCTTGATTAGTTTACCTATCTTAAGTAAATGGAAGATGTTGAATGATCCAAATGCCTTTTTCATTGTTTATGATATTGTTCTTGATCTTACTGACCTGAGGAAACTCACTTATGTCACTGATGGGAATGATTATTGATATTGTCTTTACTCAATTGACTTGAAGAGAACTTACATCATTGAATAGCATCATCATATGTGACTTATGTTACTGATGGGATGATTATTGAATATTGATATTGACTTTACTTTACATTATCATAACATGGTTAGTTACTGGTTCCTGCAGGCAATTTGCACAACGGTCACGAGTCCGTAAGCTCCAGTACATATCTGAGCTAGAAAGGAATGTACAATCATTGCAGGTAAGGCTAAAGAAACCGTGGTAGTGAAAGATGTATCCGATTACAATTTCAGGAACACTGAAGTATTGATTTTTTCCTTGGTATCAATAGGCCGAAGGCTCCAAAGTTTCAGCAGAGCTTGATTTTCTCAATCAGCGTAATCTTATTTTAAGTATGGAAAATAAAGCTCTTAAGCACCGCCTTGAAAGTATAGCTCAGGAGAAGCTGATCAAACAATGTAAGTTTCTCCCACCCAATCCAAAAATATATATTCTTTTAGCTTTCTCTAGATCCAAACTCTAATCTGAAGTATGAACTTGCAAGTATTAGCTAGCTATCAAGACTGAACATAACTTAACTAGTGTAGCTCCTATTAGCTAGAGAAGCCAACAGACAAGCTTTACAATACTTCTAGTAGTACTACAACTCATGAGTTCTCTGCTATGCAGTGGAACAGGAGATGTTGGAAAATGAGATTGGAAGACTACGAGCACTGTATCAGCAACAACAACAACAAACTCGTAAACCATCAGCGAGTCTCGGACGTTCTGCTAGCAAAGACCTCGACTCTCAGTTCTCAAGTCTTTCCCTGAACACCAAGGATTCGAACTGTAGGCGTGACTCTGTATCTGTGATGGGTCAATTCCACTTTTAGTCAAATGAATCTCTCTACTCATTGGTTCATTAGATCCTTAAGGGCCTGGCTTAGGCGTTTCAACAAGATCAGGCCTTGATCACTTTTTCTTACGGTTGACAAGTTAACTCGCCAGTGCACCTATAATACTTCCAGCAGATGGCTTGCCTGAGGTGGTTTTAGTTCGAAGATCAGACACCTGGACGTTATCTATCTGGTGATATGAGACTGGAAATATCAAACCAGGACAAAGTAAAAAAGACACTGGTCTGTGGAGTTGTACTATGTTCTTTCTACTGTTTGTTTGTATTTTATGTTACTTATAAAATGTTGCATTCCCTTGGAGTGAATGGTTCATGTAAAGTCGATGACATTCTATGTTATAAGCTTTCCCAAGTGTCAAGATATTTGATTGTAGCCCATTCCGCCTAACGTGAACCTGTAGAATTGGCTATTAAATTGTGAAAGTTTGTGCGATAATTAAGGATTAGTTCGTATAAATTATAGTTTGATTAAGGACTAGTGGTCCTATTTTGATAAGGTTTAGCTTTGTTTTGTTTCTATCTAAACCTTTCGTGTCATGTGTATGACAAAAATACTCTTGTAATAGCCCTGTTCTTTTGCTAATGGCTGCGTCTGCTACAATGAAAAAAGAGAAAATGGTTACGTTGCGTCAAGATGGAGACAACAATTTCCGCTGAAGATGGTCGTTGACATTGCCAAAAATGATCGCCGGTGTTATTAGTTAGACGCTGGAATTTTCTGACGATACTTTTTACATAACGCGACCATTCCCCCGGTACTTTTTTCTTTGATCAACAGCTTCATCAGTGTCGTTTAGCTTTTTGTACTTATTATCATTGTCGTCGTTTTGCTCAGTAGCAGCCGCTGCGTCTGCAGCAAAGAAAAGAAGAAGGGTAATGTCAAAAGTTAATAAACAAAAATCAAGTATGCAATTTCCATAGAAACTCAGAGCTTGACATACCTTAAATAGAGGGAAGGGGTCTCTCGTTGACTAAAACATGTCTTAGACAAGAAGGATCACTTGTGGAAATGAGAGTGTCCCCTTTATTGATTACCCAAACTTTAGGAGGTGTATTGAAACTGAAATTTTAAAAGATTTTGTAATTATTTTAAAATTTCATGTTATTCAACTAATGATTTCTAAATGTCTTATCAAAATTTATGTTATTGAGCATGAAATTTATATAAAACCAATTAAAATCACTTTAACATCCATGTTATTCAGTCAAGAATTTGTAAAAACTAAATCATATACATTGTTATTGAAAATATTATAAATAGTAGATTTTACAAAATATTGAATACTTTTAAATAATTTGGTGGAATTTGTTAGTTAAAAATATAGAAAACCAAATCTCATTATTTTAGGTAGGATTTCATATAATTTTAATATCAAATCATATCAACTTCCCTAATTTACATAAAATCATCTAAAATTTCATTAAAACTCAAATCTTTTCAAATTCTATAAAATTTTAGTTTTAATACATCTCCCTAAAATCCATTCTCCAGTGAGTTATTTGTAAAGACCAACTCTTGGTGCGAGCTCCTGTCGATAGAATCTGTCTTTTACGTCCAACCAAGTAATAAAAGCGACTGGGCCAGTCCAAATAGCTACTTGAGATATTCATTCTGATAAAATTAGCCGAGTGTTAAAACTTGTTCGAATCACGTTGATTAATAAAAAAAAGTAATGAAAGCATTTGGCACTCTTTTAACTATAATATATGTGGTTTATTTTGTTTTTAAAATATATATATTTTTAATATTTGCTTTGGTAAAATTACAAATTATCCAGATTTTTTTAAATGAATAAAAGATTGAAACTGTTAAACGGATAGTGATTATCCATTTACTTTTGTCTTTATACATTAGCATATTAAAGGATAATGCTTATCTATAAGTTTTAGATAATGTTTATCTATATGTTTTGGATAATACTTATCTATATGTTTTGTCTTTATACATTAGTTTACTTCACTATGAAGTAATGTTTTACCTATAAATAGGTGACTTCGTTCTTTGTAAAATCATAAGTTAAGAAGAAGAAAGAAGTGAAGTTCTTATGTTCATCTTTCTCTCTGAAGTTTAAACTTCTTAAACTTTTCTTTGCTTTTCTATATAAAGCATTAGTTTACAACACGTTATCAGCATGAACGTCTCTGGATCTATAACCGGAAGATAGATCCATACATATGAGGTAATATTCAGTTATGTTCAATTTATTTAGAATATTATGATTTATGGAAAGATAGGCTCTGCCTTCTCTGTTTATATGTTATACCGGGATGGAAGGCTATGCCTCTTCCGAGCTGATCGTTATGGTAGGTGCTGCCTCCACGATCAAATAATTATATCGTTTATTATGCTGAGATGGTAGGCTATGTCATCTCCGAGCTGATCGTTATGGTTGGCGCTGCCTCCACGATCAAATAATTATATCATGCCGAGATGGTAGGCTATGTCTCCTCCGAGCTGATCGTTATAGTAGGCTAGGTCTTCACGATCAAAATGATCACATGGCAGACTATGTCACCTCATATCATATTTACTTATTTATTTATTGCATAGAAGATTAAAATCCTCACCTTTGTTCATTTATTTATTATGCATAGCAATTGCATGGTAGGCTCTGCCTCCTCATATTGCTTTTAATTATTGTCTTTTATTATGCCGTTACCATGCTCAATTTTTATAACTAAATTTTATTCAAATTAAATGGGTTAAGTTTTTGTTATTCAGTAATAATGTTAAATTTTTCAAAGCTCGAGATCGCCGCCCTTGACTTGTGTGTTTTGGGCGGTAAGTGCAAAGTTGCATCTAAAGGAAAATGGTCTCTTGAGCACTATCGATAAGTCGAAAATGACGTCGGATGAGGCTAAGGCAAAAGCCATGATCTTTTTACGCCACCATATTTATGATGGTTTAAAAGATGAATACATCACGAAAGAAGATCCGGCAGATCTTTGGGCCTTTGGCTATCGCTTAAGAGTCAGTTCGATCACCAGAGGTATGTGATCTTACTGAAAGCGAGGCACGAGTGGTTGAATCTCCAGTTCCGGGATTACAAAAGTGTGAGTGAATATAATTCCGTGCTGTTCGGAATCACCTCCAAGATGACGTTGTGTGGAGAATATATCAGTGAATATGATATGTTAGAGAAAACTCTCTCCACTTTTCTTCCTGTAAATGCAATCCTGCAGCAGCAATACCGGGCAGGAGAATTCACCCAGTACTCGGAGTTGATGCAAATCCTCCTTGTAGCTGAACAAAATAATCAACTTGTGATGTTGAACCATCAGACTCATCCAAATGGATCTATGCCATTCCCTGAAGCGAATGTTGCGTCATCCAGTCAAAGTGATAAGAAGCCACGACGTGATCGCAGACGCGGTAGAGGCTGCGGTCGCGGTCGCGGTCGAGGGTGTGGACGAGGAAGGGAAAGTGATGATGGTCGGGATGTTAGAAGACAAGGTGACATCCCTTGCTTCAGATGCGGCTTGAAAGGGCATTGGGTACAGACGTGTCATACGCCAAAACATTTTGCCGATCTGTATGCAAAATCACAAAAGGCCAAAGAAAAGGATGTAGAGACCAACTTTATCTTAGATGAAGCTGGAACTTCCTTTAATGGCTTCAGTGATGACACTCATCTTGAAGTTGCTGACTTTCTTGTTGATCCTGAAGTATCAACAAAATCAAAGAAACTTAAATCGATAATAGTGTATCCTTGATAGAGACAAGAATAACAAACTCTTAATCTTGAATCAACTATGTTTATGCTACAGGTTTTTGATGTAATATATTAACATGTTGTTTTTATAAGTTGATGTTCTTTTTGTTAGTTATTGCATCACTTATAAGTATTGTGACCCAGGAGATGTCACACTTTGAGATTTGGGATGGAGATACTTGTCTAGCAGACAGTGCTACGACACATACAATACTTAAAGATACAAAGTATTTCTCCTATCTCAAAATGAAAGTCTCTGTCGGAAGCGTGAGCACTATAACTGGTATTGCAAAGATTATACTAGGCTCCGCAAGAGCAAGTTTTTCATTGCTAAGGGGTACAGAGTTTGTAGTGCAAGATGCATTATACTCCCCCGAGTCTCAACGGAACTTATTAAGTTTTTGAGATATCCGCAGAAATGGATATCATATTGAAACTATTAATAAGAATGGCTCTGAATACCTTTGCATTACAATGGAGAGTAAACATCAGTTGGAAGAGTTACCAATGATATCCTCCGGATTATATTGCACAAAGATAACCATGGCTGAATCACATGTTGCAGTAAACCAGAAGTTTACCAGCACTTTTAGAGTATGGCATGAAAGGTTAGGCAATCCTGGTTCAGTCATGATGAGAAGGATTGTGCAAAATTCGAGTGGCCACCCATTAAAAAACCAGAAGATTTTTCAATCAGGGGAGTTTTCATGTAAGGCATGTTCTCAAGGAAAACTCATATGTAGGCCCTCGCCAGCCAAAGTTGGGAATGAATCCCCTGTATTCTTAGAGAGAATACATGGTGATATATGTGGGCCGATTAACCCACCCTGCGTGTTATTTAGATATTTCATGGTGTTGATTGACGCATCTAGTAGATGGTCACATGTGTGTCTTTTGACCATAAAAAATATGGCTTTCGCAAGATTCATTGCCCAAATAATCAGGTTGAGAGCGCATTTCCCTGATTATGCCATAAAGAAAGTCGGGCTTGATTATGCTGGTGAATTCACTTCAGTGGCCTTTAATGACTATTGTATATCTTTGGGAATCGATGTTGAGCATCCGGTTTCGCATGTTCATACACAAAATGGCATGGCCAAGTCATTGATTAAGCGGTTGCAATTAATTGGAGGACCGTTAATCTTGAGAACAAAGCTTTCAATCATTGTATGGGGATATGCTATATTTCATGCTGGGGCATTGGTCCATGTAAGACCAAGTGCGTATAATGAATATTCCCCCATACAGTTAGCATTTGGCCATA